AGCGTTATACGGCCGAGAAAACCTCCACGACTTGAGCCCAAGTCAAAGTTGAGATGATGTTCCAACTTTGCGTCGCGCCGGCGTGCATTGTTAAGCGATGGCATCCACGAACTGTCCAAAAACTGGCAAGGATCTCTCAATAACATTGCTGTATAATTTTGATCTTGTACGCCTCTCTGTAAAAAGAAAGTCTAATTTGAAAAAATGTGACAGAACTTTCCCGCCAACCTAATATAAATGAAAGAAAATTTTAATTCTGCAGGGACACAGTGCGCAAAAGTGGACAGAGAAACGTCGTCCTTGGTATGTGGTCGCTCATATACGGAATCACTGCTGAGGTTTGCAAAGTGGCGTTTTGTGACTCGTGATCATGTTCATCTTGCGTGTTTTTCCTTTCATTTATGGTTTCATCACTTCTTTTCTTTCTTTCCTTCTTTATAAAACACTGTTCCATTTGATATAGCATTTTTCGGCATTACTCCACCAATACCACAGAAACTACAAAAACTTTTCACTTGCACAGCCTAACTGATGTAGCTCCGCCATCACCGCCGTCCCCCCCCCCCCCCCTCCCCCCCCACACCCCCATTGAACTCGACTGCGAAATATAATAGTAAGGAAGTTGATGGGAGACATCGTGGTGTCAAGTAGCGCCGTGGCAAAATTGCTCAGGGATGAAAATAAATAATTCATTCGTAATCTAAACTTCAAATAAGCCTTCTATGCGGAGCTACATCAATTTTAGAAGGAAAGGGGTAAGCTAAAAGTTGGTGTCAGCCCCATGTCTGCACTAGCGAAAATTACTGTGGTACTTTGCAGCCACTTCACATGGATTAGTCATTATTTGAGGATGAAGCTCCAAACCGCGCTCACCACGGGCAGTCCTGGAGTTCAATTCCGGATGGGCTCCCACCCAAGCGCCAGCCCAACACAAGAACTTTACTAAGCCTTCTACCTTCTGAGGACAGAAAATCGGTACAGTTTCATCTGGGAAGACAAGAACACCAACTTCTAGATTGGATGGTCCCCATTGTATAGTCCACAAGGCATTGTGGAGGTATTAGGTTGTTCGAAAAGTCCTGCGACACTTTGATTGAATTGTTCTAGAAAAAGACCAAAAATCATTTTGGATGTTTTTATCCCTGATTAGTGGAGAGGGTTTCTGCACATGGGTATATCATGACTTTGTGGAAGTTTTCAAAGCTTAAAAGTCCCTCAGAGATCGAGGTACTTTTCGACCTATCCCATATTATGAGTTCCTGTAGGGCCACTCCGCCGTAGTCGAGGAAGCTAACACTTACGTTGTCTTGAGGAAGGATATCGCTTGCCATGGCAGAGCTTTTGCATCAGCGCTTCCAGGCTGGACTTATTTAACTCGTAGTTAGGCAATGTATAGGTCGCCCACCAGCACAGAATGACGGCCCTTTACTCAAGCTTCTTGAGGCGCAGCCGAACGTAACCACCAGTAAGTTGGCAACCTCTCTAGGCTCCACCTAACTGACAACTGCCATGCTTCTCCGCAGTCTCGGTTATCGGAAAATTTTTTTGTGAAGGATGCCTCATGAGTTGGACCCGTCTGACAAGTCATACCGAATGACCGTGACTGAGTTTTTTTCCTTGTACACAGCGAAAGAACTTTTGTGAGATCTTGTGGTTGGTAGCGAGTGTTGGAGTCCTTGCGTACATCATGCACATCCCTCGCAGGATCTCTCAAACAGAAAAGCCAAAATCAGATGTGCATGGGATAAAGATTTCAGTGTGTTATTGGTGGGACTTCAAAGCGGTATCACTGGATACTAGCACCGTTGTAAGGACCACAGTCCACCTTAATCGACTTCAAAATATGGATGACGTCACGCTTGAATTCATTCAGAAATACTCAATTTTTCTCTACTACTCGGTAATGCGAAGACCGCATGTGGTGATTAGGCTACGCCAAAGATGGATTTCGATCAGAGAATGCGACCGTACCCAGGTTATTTAACAAAGTTAGCAGCCTCTAATTACCACCTCCTTTGGTCCCTATCGCATCCTTTAAAAGGCAAAAATTTCCGAAACGACCTCAACTCGAGGATGAGGTCCACCTCTTCTTTTATCATAGTTGCCGTAGTTCTATGAGAATGGAAATGAGAAGCTGTGCAAAAGAAGGGCACTAGTCCTAGTCATCAACTGCGGTTACCTTGTAGATTGGAGATGTCTTTTAGTGACAGAAAATTTAGTCCGAAAAATTTGGTCAAAGTGTCGCAGGACTTTTCGAACAACCTAATGCAATGCATGCCGCATCCCAAACAACACTGGTCAACGGTAACGACTTCACTCTTCATCCTCTATATATTTTTAATTGGCTGAGGTCTTTGACCACGAAAAGCTTTATGCTTTCAGCTTCTTGAGAGTGAAGTCTGATATTTTAAAGGCCACCAGTATAACGAGTTGTTCAGAAGGGTAAAGCCAACTGGAAGCGCTGACCGAATTCAAAAACAACACTGTCTCTGTCAAAAAACCCCATCAAATGTTCACGCACCACCTGTTCGTTCCCAGCATTGCTGTACAAACACAAATCTAAACAATTTACGTAGTTTTGCATTTTTGATCTCTTTCAATTAAATAAGTTTACGGGCCGAAAATGAACAACTTGATACTCTAATTATGCTCTAGATTAAAGCAAACCCCATGTAACTACAGATGCAAAAATCAGTTAATGTACTAGCAGCTGAGCCATTTCGGAGCTGATAGCTGGTTCTGAGGGAACTGCTAGGGAACAATTTTCTTCAAGTAGCCCACCTGTTACCGCCATAGTCTACTGCACTATATTGGATAGCGTTGCTGCAGTCTAATGCGGAAAACGTGGATACCCATGGCATACAATGGCAAGTATGTCGGAACGAGAATCGCATACAACAGCTGTTTCGGAGATAGGAATGGGTGGCGGTGGGGTAGCAGGATAGGTAACATAGAGCAGCTGAAAGGTGTCAAAAATGCTGACCATTGGTATCTGCGTCACGAGCCCGTGACATCGTTCCAAATAAAGGAAGCCATGTCAAGGTCTCGGGACGCAGATAACCTGTCAGTGGTCAGCTTCATGTAGCTAAGCGTGTGATGTGTGCAGCTCTGCACGCTCACCAAGCTGGTATCAGAATAATTAGCTAACAATCTTAATAAGTTGACATGAAATTCGAAGGTACTCCTGTGATTAAGTAATGCCACTCAGAATCCAAGGGCCAAATCCCTAAACTGATTATGTGCCATTGTAAACTGTATGAACACATCTGCTGCTTAGACAAACATCGCGTAGAAATTATACCTTTGCACAACTTCTGCATGAACACCTATGGCATGGCGCATCCTACATGCAATCTAAATCATTTCTGTGTTGCATGAAAATTCTGCAAAAACTGCAGAACTAGAGAACTTAGCCTGATTCGAAGCTTTCGTTCTGTCCTGCACTGAATTTTCTTTGAATTTAGCTCATTTACGCCATAGTGCTGACGGTTATGGTACGGAAGCAACATCGTCGACTATCATGCTACAAAATTATGATTCTATTAGGTATGTTTCCAGCTTTCAAACTATAGCATAATGGGAGTAGAAAAGCACATGCGCATGAGTCATCAGGTAGCGTTCAGACTTCGCGGCGCTCGTACGCCTGCGCGATCGATGCTGTCGGAAGCATGCGCGTGGCAGCGATCGCGTTGTACGCGCGACCTAAACGCTGCCATCGCAAAGTCTGAACGCTGCCTTAGCCTTAGACACACGACGAAGAGGACTCAGTTCTGCGTGGAAGGAAGAGGGGGGGGGAGCGTTTTCCACTCTCCAGTGAATCTAATTGTCTTGTTCATTGCATTACAAGAGTTGGCAGGTGTTCTTCACAAGGTTTGAGAAGTGGTCTTCACAAGCTTCAACTGTATTACTTCATAAAAAGTGCGAAATGCCTTGCCTACCTAGCACCCCCCCCCCCCTCGCCGACCCTCCTCCTTCCAGAGTCTCTCTTTAATCTGCCTTCGTCTCAACGTTCATGCTCAGGTACTTAGGTGGTGACCTCACGTATGACTCATGCGAACGTAATTAATCTTTTCTTAGGTATCATCGATATGTGTGCACTGTCGTTGAATTCTGTCCTCAGTGGATACTTATGGTTGATAGGAGCCAATTATTGCATGTACCCAACAACCATTTTTGCGGCAGGATCTGTGGCACTAGGTGAGCTTTTGATTTCACTGATTCAGAATGCAAGGCTCCATTCTTGAACATACAACAACGGTTGTTCGTTAAGCAGCAGTTTGTGTCGCAAGTTCGTCAGAAAGTGTTACGAAATGTGAGATTGCTTATCTCAAAAGGAACTAAAAAAGGTCACAAACGTTTTTGTTCCTGCTTACTCAACGCATACTTGAAAGTCTCAGTGCAAAGAACCAAAAGGGTTAGCAGAAATTTTTGTAGCATACCACTCTGCCATGGGCACGCCGCTCGTTGAACCATTCTATATTATGAAGTGGGCGTCACCCCAAGTAGGAAAGTACAGCGGCGTTGTGTCCAAGAAAGATGTCCTTTTTCACGCAACCCTGCCTCGTTCCTACAGCTGTGCAACTGTAAATATTTTATGTTGGGAGAAGCAACCAAAGAATTTTTCAGATCTCAGACGTCAAACGTCAACCTCCCTCAGACGTCATACGTCAACCTTATTTATCGTTAGAAAGGCCTAGTATCTTCCTACTCTGGGATAGCATGCGCCTCATGTGGGAGACCCATCAAATAGTCCTTCTCGCTGTACACCTTCCTGTAGTAGATTTCTGACAGTGGGTTGACGAACAAGTTAAGGAAGACGTATCTCTAAACAGAGCCTGGCACTGTGCGATACTTGCCACAAAAAAGATATTAATTTTTCTGCATTGTGATCTGAGAGCTATGGCTCGAATCATTCCCATCCTCTCACCAATGGACGGCGCTGAAGGATGTCCATTGTCTCAGGCCGTCCGCTGGTTTGAGAGCGCGGCATCACACCATCAAGCTAGGGAGGTATCCTCTAGGTATCCACATACTTCAAGCATTGTTTGAGCGAACAACCATAGCACTCGGAGTCAACTGCTTCCGAACCGATATTAAGCTAACAAGGGAGGTCGTTCAGGGCGTGGTGAGCTTTTTCAAAATGGTCTTGTGCATATTGTAGGGGCACATACGAGGACCAGAAAACTGAGGTTCATTTTCGCTGCGCGCTTCTACGAATAAAAAAAACGTAAAAAATAGGTCGATGGTTCGGATCCCACCGAGGACAAAATTTTGCTTTTCTACAATTTTTCATTTTTTGGATCCATGTTTGTCTAAATAATTGGTCCTAACAAAAACATTCACGATAAACTGAACAATCCTATTTTTATGGAGCAAAACTGCTTTTTCGTTCGAATTCGTTAGTATGCACAGACTCAGCTCTTCGGCGCTATGCCGGTGCCAGATGGCACTGGAACCGAAAATAAAGTCTAGAATCGTGATCAGGACTGTCGATTACCCCTAGGAGCAAGTTTTGAGCAAAAAAAATTTTTGACTTTTTCGGGTTGTAGGTGACCATTTGGTCGGCAGTGTGAGCGGAGTCTCACATCTTCGTAACAGCGATGACGTATCGTTGACGCTACGGACCCCGGACAACCCAATAAGCAAACCCAAGAAGGTCAAAACAATTGTTTTGACCGAAAATTCGTTTTTAGGGGTAATCAGTGGTCTTGATCACGATTATGACACCTATTCTTGATCTCCACGCAATTTGCCGCCAGAATAGCGCTGAACGTCCCCTGTATGGTATACATAACGAAATCCAGTGGAAAGAAGATGTGACCCCAAATTGGCTATAATTGACACCACACAAGTTACTATATTCGCGATCAGATCCACTGTGTAGCCTATGAAGATCAACGTTCAGCAACAATCTTGTTCAATGGTGCGTGAAAATCGAAATAGTTGAATAGCACTGACTCATGGGTATAGCTACTCAGAATGTGCCCATAAATGACAAATATCCGTGTTATATTCATGCGCACGCACAAAAGGAAGTGAGAATAGGGAAACCTAATAAATGCGAAAATATGCAGCCAGGGGAGTCAACACCAACCCCACTACACTTGTTCAGAGTGCTCGATCCTCCACTCTATCCGCTAGGCCATCCGATCGTTGACGTTGCATGCCGCTCTCATTGTTGAAGAAACCATTGCAAGAAGCCGTTCACCCGTGAACACGTGACCCGAGTTGGAACCTAACTTGCGACGATTTTTCGTTCCAGTTCGGATAGTCCCTTTATAAGGACCCCCCACTCAGCAAGTGGCCAACGTCGCAAGTGACCTACGCCGCATAGAGGCCCAAAACGGAGCAGATTCCTGAGATTTCTTTTCACTCGTTTTTTACCTTTCCTGGAAGCGCGCAGCGAAAATGAAGCACACTTTTCAGGTCCTTGCATGAGCCCCTACAATATGCAAAAAACCGTTTTCGAAAAGCGCACCACGCCCTGAACGACCTCCCTTGTAAGAGTGATGTTTAGTTCCCACACATTGGTTTTTGAATTACAGACAGCAAAAATTTACTGCAATCAGAAGTACGTGGTCTGCGAGAGCAGAGGGATTCAACGCCGCTCCAGCTTCTCTGCGCATATCCTGTTAGGAGACTGAATTTAGCGCGGCGCCCCCGTTCTCCACCGATTGTTAAAGCGCGTGAGGGCAGCAATTGGAGGATAACGGAATGACTTCAGCCAAACCAAGTGCCTTCTGACACACATTGGTATACAGCGAAAAGATGTAATTTAGCTCGTCTTTAGGCCTATGGTGCTGTGCATGCATGAACTGTCTCGTGTTAGTCATCAATCGATTGCTCGAATATATGGAGCAAATACGCAATGCAAATGGTGGGTTCTTTGGCAAGTTTTTTACTACTTCTGATTTCCTGCTCTCTGCTGCTGCTGCGTTTAAATACCAAATGAGCTTGCTAGAGCTCCGAATTTTCACCCTTCACCAGCATTTCCGGTGCTAACGTATTTGGAGAGGGAGGGGGGACCACGCGGCTCGCGAGCGATGACTCAGCTGCTCTTCCGCTCCTTCTCCAGCAAGGTAGTACTCAAAACAGCCCATAGATATTCTCGGCGTAGCGCGAAAGTAGCAGCCAAATAAGAACAGAAAAAAAACATCCGCCGGGAATGTGTTTTAAACAGCGCGCAGATAGTTCCTATCATATTTGAAGCGGGAAACAGATGGAATTCAAAAGCGAGATGAAGGTGAATGAATTTTGGTAAGATGAATTGTCTTATAATATTATTGTGAGGAAGCTGCTTAGGGTTCAATTTCTATGATTTGATAGGTAGCTATAGATTATTTTTAGATTCTGCGGATTGGTTGATTGGTTGTCACTTTTACACATAGGATGGGTTCTCTAGACCAGATCTTCCTTCTTTTGTAGGCTCAGGCAAAAATCTTGCGACCTACAATTGTTTCTTTGCACTTTACAGCGCTAACTGTTTTGCCTTCTATATATGAGCGTAGGGCGGTGTCATATCCATGATCAAAAAGTATAGGGCTGAAAATTTCGCCAAAGTGAACGGTGCCGAGGGCAAAAATCCTCAAAACGCATACGAAAAACCCCACGAAATGGGGAGTAAGGTGAAATGACTGAATGGTTTGGCAGATGAAGTTAGTGAGGTATAGTGTAGCTCTCTGCGGACGGTTGGGCGTGTCAGTGAGGCGCGGTGCCAAACTTTTATCTACCAGTTTTTAAAGCGAACAAATGATATGACTGTATCATATCGATCGTATTACTCGTTTTCTACCACTTTTTGTCGCATGCGCGCTTAAACAAGAAGGCAGAGAACGGCCTTGACGCTGTGCACACTCATACTG